TATGATACAATGAATGTGAATTTCGTGTAAAATATCTTTCTCAAGGATAGTAGGCAGCTCAAGAGAGAAACCGAAGGCTTATGACCCTTAAAGTGTCCATGCCGGCATGGCTCGAGTGTTGATCCTCACTGTAAAATGAATCACCAATACATGGATTTAAAAACAATTTTATGGAACGAGGAAAGAAATTGGGAAATATATATATATACCTTCAAACAATGATGTACTTTTTGGAGGCATAGTTTCCTGCATAACTGGCCCATCTCTGTCATCTAAGAGTTTTTTCTCTGGTAGAGGAACAGTCATTGGAGACACCATATTTACAGGCTTATTGTTGAACGTAGCTCTCCTTCCATTTCCCTGATCTCCTGAGTTATCGTCCACCATGTTTTCTGTTTGTTCACTTGGCACTACCGAGGCTGTTGCCATGACTGCAATATCTGTGACTAGCCTCTTTAAATGTTATCTGTAAATATGCAAGGAAATTCGAAGTACGTCTGAAAGCAGAAACATAAAAAATCACATAGAATTACCCTTATTTTACTTAATAAAATTTACCCTCAAACCTAAAACACTGTACGCTGTCAACAGGGTTTATATTAAAATGACTTCAAACAATGGAGTTCGTTTTTTGAAGTTCAAATGCTTGTCAAAATGAAAGTGATTTCCAAAAGGCTCTGAAAAACTACAACATTTGGTTTACATTTAGCGTTATAAAGAAAGCTTTTGGGAGTAATTAAGAACGGCTTAAACACTACTCAATAGCTCTAGACGTGTATTTCATACCTGCATGTTGTTTGGTGGCTTTTAGAAGAGCTTTTTCCAGCAAAATTTCGGAACAAAAACAAAGAAATTCTGCAAACTTTAACATTTTTCTTTCTCCCTTCCCATGAGACTGTTCGGTACAATAAAATAGGAAGCCCAAAACATATATTCTTTCAAAAATGAAGAAATAAATAGAATAATGAAAAAAATATATATCGTGAATTTTGTTATTGATCTTATAGGTTATTGACAATATTTTTACGTTAATATGAAAATATTAAGAAGTAGTTTTGAATAAATTTGAAAATTGCGAAATGGGTTTCCTGTTGTGAAGCCTGGTTGTTGTGAGCTGAGTCTGACATTCTACTTCCGGGAAAAGTTAGAGATTTGTGCATGTTTATAGCAGATTAAGACTTCCAAAATAGTTGGTCAAAATCAGGATCATAATATCCTATTAAAAAGAGTTTTCTTTGAAAATAACCTGATCGAGATTGTACAGCAACTCAAATTGAGGATATGGCTTCATTAATGTCAAGGTTCAAAAGAAAGGTTTCCAAGAAACAACGAGGTATTTGTATGACGCTTAATAGGACTTACACAAAATTTCTTTCATGAATTTAACCTATGTTTGATTGTCCTTTGTAATTTTAAAAGCTATCCTTGCGTTTCCTGATGTTTTGATGACAATAAGGCATATATTTAAATTTGTCTTTAAGATGTTATATTCTCTACTTTAATAGGTTAGATGTGTAGTACGATATCTAGTTTTAAAATTCAACCTTTAAAAGTTTGTGCTTAGATTGTACTTGCAAATAAATCATTTTGAACTTATTTTCAGAAGAGGATCGCAGGAAAAGTAATTCAGAAAAACCAGACAATAATGTAGATAATCACAAAGAACCTAGACCAGGTTGTAGTACTTCGCGAGCAGCAAGCTCCAGCGTAAAAGAATTGGGTAAAGATGATGCAAATATGGGTCCAAGTAATAGTGGAAATCATGCAAACAAAACTGCTCCTCCAAGATATGAAGAAGAGTTAAATAAAGGGGAAAAAGGAAAGAGAAAAAAAGGGATGATCATGAATAATGAATCCACATTAGAGAAACCAGACCATCAAGAAGATTTCAAGAATGAAAGTATTGTAAATGCAAGTTTGAGAAGTTCAGAAGAAAACACAAAAAGAGAATCCATTTCTGAGGAGAGCTCTCAAAATATTGCCTGTGAAAATGAGAGCTTGCATGAGTCATTAGTGTCAGATCAAGATAACAATGTGCCATCTGGGGCAAGCAATAATTTGAGTGATCCAGATAATGAGTTAGTAGCACAGTTGCAACACATTGAAATAATAAATGCCACTGTAAGAGATAAGACCGATGAGCAGCAACTTCAGAGTGAAAAGACTTCTATCTCTGAGCACACCAAGGCAAATTCAATGAACTTAGCAAAGCTTCAGAATCCTGATGTACCAGACATCATAAGAGAGGCAGAAGAGCATTCACTACATGTGCATGCTCAAGAACAAGCACAGTCAAAAGTTGAGCCTTTAGGTATGTATTGATGCATATTCTTCAAAAGTCATTAAATATGCTGCCCGGGGAAGGGGGGGGGGGGTACTACCACCCCAACTTTGGTAAGGGTGTGCCGCCAGGACCTCAAAACCCTGACCCTATCCCTATGTCACAAAGCGTAGCCTTTTCACCAGACAAAAATGACCTAATCGTTAACCCTATCCCAGACAAAAATGATACCTATCCCAGACAAAATGTCAAAAAATGATACCCTCCCCCAGACCCAAAAGCCGAAAAACCATACCCTATAGGTCGGCACATACCCGTATAGCAAATATAGGGGAGTGCCCCCCCCCCTCCCCCCTGGGATATGCTGTAACATGAAACAACCTCTTGGCTGGTCATAGTCATGGCATGAAGAAATCACAGATTGAACCCTTAAAATGCAAACAAATTGATTATGTATTACACCTACATGTATGTCACTCTTTATTCCTGATAATGTATAGAGACTCAGAATTTTCAAGACTCAGAATTTTCAGAGTCTTTCAATTTGCAGCTGTATAAGTTGCTTCATATACACTGCGAGCATCAGCTCAATTTGATACATTACAACCACAGTGCAAATATATATTTCATATGTATTCTCATACAAATAAAGTATAGAGTATAGTTTTAATTTTTAATATCTTCTTATTTGAATTGATTGACTGTATAGTTTCAGATATTTTGTCGAAAAAGGAAATGGAAGATAGAATTTCTCTGAAGCTTGACCGAGGAAGTTCTGTCCTAGCAAACTGGGAAAACCTTGCTTGTGAACTTAATGCACCTCCTAATATCAGAGCACAGTGTAGAAGAACAACCATGGAAAGCCCAACAGAACTGCTGTTTGAATCTTTTAACAGCTGGAGACACACAGAAAACCTTACTGTTAATGAASTAATAGMMWWTCTTAATGAAATGAAAAGAAAAGATGCTGTTGAAGTCATAGAGAAAGCTATTCCAGGTAAAATTACCTCAAGATAATTCAAATACACTGGGTGTATTAAATATCATATTATAATGATGATAAGTAATTAATATTTCAAAGCCGACAATAAGGACTGGAAGGGATTTCAAGTTCGAGCAATTAGTTCCAGTTGGAGGCGCAGCTGTTAATAATTCGGGAGGTTATTTGTTTAGGATTGAAAGGCTTGAGGGACAGATATGTTCCTGAACTGAATTAATTTTGATCCAGTCCATTAGGACTAGAACAAAATTAATTCAATCCTAAATCACAAGACTTTACCAGGTTTCAAGTAACATCATTTGACCCAAAAAATAGCCCATTGATGGGCTGGTTTATTGCTCATGAATTATTAATGAGTATGAGAAGAAGTGTTAAGAGTAGGTCTCTGTAAGACT